TTAACTTCATTGCCCTGATTAAACACAACCTGTCCTCCAAGGATACCCATTCCTTTCTGCAGTCTCACAAGGAAGCCCATATTCCACCAATCACAAGCTGGTAGGTAGTGAGTTGGGTGCCCTGCTTGTTGCCCAGGGCAGCAACCAAATAATTTCTACTCCTTTCTCCATCAAAAATGAATCTCTTTTAAAGTTATTGTTGTCTGACTATACCATAGGTACCCCTCCTCTTTTGTTTTTTTGCTGTCATGATTTAGACGTCCTTATTACTTAGGACTTTTACCCCTTGTTCACAGTCTTCCACTTCACCAGTTTCCTCACCATTCTGAGAGATCTTACTATTCGTTTACTGAAAAACCCAACACCTTGAGCCTCTCAGTTCCTTGACTTTCTCCTTTCCAAGGATTGTCACCAGTAATTGCACAAGCTTTGACATCTTGGTTTCAAGTATTCTCAGATAAGCATTCTTACCTTTCTGTCTAATTTCCTGTAGCACGTCTGCTCTAATCAATAATTCTTCTCCCATGTTAAGATCATTGATTTGTTACCCAACACTAAAGTCACTCAGTTGCAAACTCCTTTTGGTCTCCCCGTTCAGTAGAACTCTCCTGGTAAAACCCCAGTCCTGTGTAAATCTGACTGCCTTTTCTGCCCTTGCACCTCAGCAGCTGAATGTACTTGGAGAAAAATAACAGGTCTGCTTGAGAGAGGACGGTCTTACCTTCCTGCCACCAAATCCACTAACTTACCTCTGTATCAGCTCACATTCTTTGCCTTCTTTTCTATTATCTTTTTAGAGATGTCCCTGTTTGCATCAAAAGCAAATCTCTCTGCTGTTTAGGGTCCCATCCATTCTAGCCTTCTTACAAATATGATTTCTATAATGATTTTCTCTCTTTTCCTGAATTATTAATTTATCACATTCTTTTGAATGACCCTCATAAGCATACAGGGCACAATAATGTCTCTATCTTAAAAAATACCCCAGATTCCTTTTGCTGTCATGTACCTTTTCAGAAAACCATTTTATTCTTCTTTTCTTCACAGCAAGTCTACTAAGATAGTTGTCTCCATTTTCTCACTTTTCAATCTTTATTTGATCTATTTTTCCCTCTATACCTGTTGTATAAAACTGATTTTCTCTCTATGGTTACTGTTGTGCCATATCCTGGTACTCTTTATTTATTTTTATCTTATTCATCCTCTCAATGAATTTGAAAATATTCTTTGAATGCCACTTCTCTTGGATTTGGTGACATCACAACTTATGTTTCTTTTTTCCCCCTTAACAACCGGGAACCTCATTTCCTTTCACCTTTGTTCACTGAATCATGAAATGTAGACTGGCGTTCATTGACATAGAAAGCTCACTGGAATAAAACAGTAGCTCACCAGAGCTAAGAGATGTGAAGGAGAGATATTATTAATATTCTACTATTCAGGAGTCTCAGAAGGCAAGTACAAAGAGAATGGAAAGCAGACAATTATCAAAGTAGAAGTAACACTAGAAAATGTTCCTTCTGCTGACTGCCCTAGGTGACCCTCCTCCTCCAATATTGTATGCTTTCAAGCTTGAAGCTTTCCCAAACTAATTTCATCTTTTACTGTATAACTTGAAGGAATTGGGTTCCTTACCATAATCCTAACAATTAAATGGTTAAAATGAAATAAAAATGCCACATGAATCACTGGTGGAAAAAAAAAAAAGGATAAGACAAAATTAAGATGTATTTATGCATGGGATTTATGAAATGTATTAGCTACCTACTGCTGTATAACAAATTATTCCTGAAGCTAGCAGCTTAAAATAGCAAACATTTATTATCTCATATAGTTTGTAAGGGCCAGGAATCTGCAAGTGGCTTTGCTGGGTGGCTCTGACTCAGAATCTCTTATGAGGTTGCATTATCAAAACAGTTTTCAAGAGCTGGACAGAAATTTAGCTACACAGCATTGGGAAATGTACACTGTCACTGTCAGTGGATGGAGAGAAAATGAGTTTAAATCAGCGTTTCCTGCACTGTGTTCTGTGGGAAACTGGTTTCTTCCAAACTGTTTCTTCCAGAGAGTGTTCTGGGGCCTAAAAAGAGTGGGGAACAACTCAGAACGCACTCCCTCTAGAAATGAACGTGCAAAAGGCTCTGTGAAAAGTTCTGAGGCACAGAATGCATCCACTTAATTTGGGGAGCTCAGAATTTTGCCACCTTTTTGTCTAGGGAACTTTATTTATTTATTTATTTTTTGGTGAAGATACAGCTTTTCTTCCCTACCCCAGATACCTCTTTCTAAAATATAGATTTGATTGTGTCACTTCATTAAAGACAGCAATAGTTGTCCCATGTGGTTGTTTTAGCAGACATTAGAATTCTGTCTTTTTACATTTCATTTTTTCTGATATTTATAATATAAATAATACATTAGCACAGTAAATATATATACAGTTTATTAACAGATAAAAATATATTTTTAAAGAATGTAGCTGGGCTCAGTGGCTCACGCCTGTAATCCCAGAACTTTGGGAAGTCAAGGTGGGTGGATAACCTGAGGTCAAGAGCTCAAGACCAGCCTGACCAACATGGAGAAATCTGTCTCTACTAAAAATACAAATTAGCTGGGCATGGTGGCACATGCCTGTAATCTCAGTTACTTGGGAGGCTGAGGCAGGAGAATTACTTGAACTTGGGAGGCGGAGGTTGTGGTGAGTCAAGAGTGTGCCACTGAACTCCAGCCTGGGCAACAAGAGTGAAGCTCAGTCTCCAGAAAAAAAAAGAACGTACACACCACATTTTATACTGATGGAGTCTACTGCTGTGTAGAATAAAGTCTGTCCTCCCTAACACTTAAATCAGGTGAGAGGAATCTGAATGCCAAGCCTGTCCTCTAGATTCTGCCTAGCCTTTGCCACTACACGCCCAGCCCTCTCTAACCCTACTAGTGCGCCTACCTTACCCGCAACAAAAATGTATTGTTCGATGACAAGACATTTTCTACTCTGTGCGTCTCATATTTGCTTATTTTTTAGAGCATTGCCTGATTTAGGATCTTTGTTCTTAAAGATCTTAAGCTGGGGCAATATTCATTTCTTCATATTTTGCTTACTTTTTCAATACTTCTCTTACCTCCACCCTAAATGACTTCTTGAACTTGAGGGGAAATAAAGAAAAAAGAGGAAAGGGAAGAAAGAGAAAAGGGAAAGCAAAACTGAGAAGGAAGGCCATTTGGAACAGCAGTAGGGTCTATGGCAGATGTGAAGGAATATTTTCTATACGCTTATCACCAGTCTACAGACCCCTCTTATAGGTCGTACCTGGAGACGTACAGGTTACTTAGGGTGGCTGCAAATGTAGGGCCAGCCTGCATTTTAAGCATGAAGGCCACATGAATGAACTTGCATTGTTCTTTGTGGAGTCATAACCAGCCCCATTTCTCCTATTCTAATTGATACCCGGCATGGCTCTGGCACGTTATTCAACTCAGCACATGGAAAATCGTCCTATTTCTAAAGTATTTCCCCATCCTTTTTTAGTCCTCAAAGCCTGGAGTACAAGGCATCTCAGAGCCCAGAGCTCTGCAGGAGAGCCATTTCTGGGTTTGTCTTACCTTCATCCCAAAAACCTTCTTTCCTGCCCTCTCTCCCTGTCAACAAGCACCCCCTCTCTGTCTGCATGGCAGCAGCTCTCCGTCTCTTGCCAAATCTTCTTCCTCCTTGTTCGTTTTCCTCCTTGCTCTGTGCCTCCCTGCCAGAGTAGAAAAAGGAAACAAAAGATGAGGGCGGGGAGGATACCGGAGTGAGAAAACCCAGGCTGTTGTGACTTACCAAGAATTTTTGTCAAAGATGAAAGTGTCAAAATGCACCCGTTAGGAATGGAAAATGGCGCTTTAAAGTAGGAACATGTGTTTTACTTTAGAAAAGTAAGAATTGCCGAGGATTATTTTCTTCTGTTTCTTTTGCTCTCTTTCTTCTCGATTTTAGATGAAGGCAACACAAAATAAACAGTATGGGATCCACTTCTCACTGCTTTAAGTGCTGTATTCCCTTCTAAAACTTAAAAAAATCAGAATTCCCAAACAAATCTGGCCCCGAGTGTCTGGGTTGAGTATCTGCACTGCTCTGTCCTCCTTCAGGCCCCATCCACTCTGGACTTGATTCAAAGAACCTCCTCCTGCCAGTTCTCCCTCCTTCCACTCTGCTGCCCCTTAGTCTGTTCTGAACACCGCAGCCAGAGCAGTGTTAACACCTCAGTGAAATCAGGCCACTCCTGTGCTTAAACCCCTCCTGTGGGGAAGAGCCATGATCCTTCCGGAGATCTGCAGAAGTCCCTGTGACCCGCTCCTGCCTCTCTGACCTGAGCCCTTCCTGCTTCCTTGCTGGGGCTGAGCAGGCCAGAGAGGCACACTGGTCTCCTGCCTCAGGGCCTTTTGGCTCTGCTCTTTCCTCTGCCTATTACCCTTTCCTTTCAGGTAACTGAAGTCCAGTTACCTGAAGTCATGTGGGTTGGTCTGCATGCCAGTGGTACCTTCCTAGCGAGAGCTTCACAGGGGCATCCCCCACCCATGCTTCCTCACACCTTCTTCTTAGCACTTACCAGCATTCATTTAAAAATTATCTTAGGGATAAAAGTGATTTTGATTTCTTTTTAGACATCAGGACAAGTTCTCTTTAGTATATTTGGCCTCTACTATGAAATTTTTGCCTCACAGCTGCTGTTAGTGGAAATCTCATTCCATGTTTAAGAACCAGCAGTGAAGTATACATACCATGCTATTACATATGAATTCATACATCAAGGTTGAAAATAAAATGAATATATAGATGTGTTTGTGGGTGTGCATGTGTGTGTGTATGTGTATATGTATGTATACATACCCCTTTGAAATGACAAAATATGTATGTGTTCAAATTGTATTGTTTCACATCTATTCTAGAGTCATTGTCAATTATTCTACATCCCAATGTTCAGCACAAACTCATTTGTAATCACTGCTCATTCATCCACCAGGGTGGGCTAAGTGCCCAAGCCTTTGTTCGTGTGGACCTGGAGGACGTGAATGATAATCATCCCGTGTTTAACCCATCAACCTATGTGACAAGTATCAGTGGTCAGACCCAGCCAGGCTCCGAAATCATCAATGTTCTCGCCACTGATCGGGACTCTGGGATATATGGGACAGTGGCTTATGAGCTTATTCCAGGAGATGTGTCATCCCTTTTTATCGTTGACTCCACCACAGGTATGTCAACTTGGAACACTTTTTATCCTTTGGATGTAAAGTTTCTGCTTAACTACTTAACTGGGAAATTAGAAAAAGTGACTTTTTTTTAAATAGTGGGGGTGTTGCAGGACTCACTTAACCTTCCAGTAGGCACTGAAGTATATTTAAAAGGGCTGAAGCTTTGTATTTAGGTTAGACCTGGATCTGACACCCAGCTTTGCCTACTACTGATTTTGTGGTCTTTATTGGTTTCAGTGTTCTTACCTTAAACATGGTGTTATCCGGGCTCTGTGGCTGACTCCTGTAGTCACAGCTATTTGGGAGGGGAGGTGGGAGGATGGCTCAAGGTCAGCAGTTGGAGGCTGCAGTAGCTATGAAGCTATGATCAGGCCACTGTCCTCCAGCCTGGGTGACAGAGCAAAACCTTGTCTCCAAAAAAGCAAAAAAAAAAAAAACAAAAAAACATATATATGTATGTGTGTGTGTGTGTGTGTGTGTGTGTGTGTATACATACATACACACATATATATATACACACATATATACATACATATATATATACATATATATACATACACATATATATATATATATGGCACTGATAATACCTATCTTGCAAAGTTTTTGTGAGAGAACTAAAGGCAGTAATTTATGTAGAAACAGTCAGCCACTATTTATCTTGCAAATGTTTATTTCCCTTTATTTGTATGATCATGCCATCTGAGAGTGACTTGGGGGTGACTGAGCCTCATTTTGGTGTATTAATAGCTAAGATTAGGGAAAAGAGATTTCTACAGGCATCCGAAGTAGATCATTTTCTCTGTACTAGGTCTGGCATTCCCTTAGTCTCTTTGGGTTTTAGTTCCCTTGTTTCTAAAATGATACCTAAAGCTCCTTTTAGATCTCTATGATGGTAATTGAATATCTACCAAAGAAGCCCAGTGGACAAGCTGTCTTTTAGAAATAATAAATATTTAAGAAGTTACCTTCCATATTCTATTCATTAGCTTGTTGCTAACAAAATAATGGTTTAAATATTTGATTATAAGAAAATTAAAAAATTTTAAGTATATAATATGACATTATAATACTTTCAAGATGCATAGAGATACTCTGGTCAAAAAATGAAGGAGCAAAAAAAGAAAGAAAAAAAAGAACCTTTTTCTTTCGCATTTTTTTCACCTGATCCAAACAATGGGTAGAATGTGTTTCTGTTGTGATGATAATTATCATGTCAGATGCTACCCTAGACATTTTCTGTGCATTGTCTTATTGGATCTTCACAACATGCTTTGTAATAGCCACATACGGTAGAAACAAATGATAATTTACACAGGAAATCTATGTGAATGTGCCCTCTCACCCATTAGGTAGAGAGCTGCTGCTTCTGCCTGGAAACTGTGCTTTGTCTGGCTTGTGCAACTGGCCGGGGATTAGTTGTTTATACTGGCAGTCTTTTTGAGGCAAACTTTTTCTTGCTCAAAATAATACACTGATGTGGTCCTTTTAACATTTCAAAGATCAGAAGAAAATACTTTTGTAGGAAACTAGTCTGTTTATCTGAGCTTTTTCAAAATTCATCTTAACTGAACACTTAACTGCCCGTCAAATCGTCAGGCCCTCTAGGGCACTAGCAATGCCAAAAATATATAGGTCAGCCAGTAATCAGGGCAAAGGATATAAAAGCATTTCACAGATTGTTTTAAAAAGACATTAACACACTCATCATTCGGTTTCCCCTGGAAGATCTGGAAAAATGAGCTATACTGTATTCTGTTTTTAGACGAGACCTCTGTTGCTGTCCTGGCCGAAGCCAGACTCATGCTTCCCTTCCTGGCAGCGACTATAGCACAAATGCCATTGCTAATCGTGGAAAGCACTTTATGTGGGTCATTATCTTAGGGAAGTTTCATGGAATTTTATTTTTAAGCAAAGACCAAATTTATAATGGAAATAGCCTTGGGTTGTTATTGTTGGCAGTTTTGATGCCCGTGTATTTAGATTGAAGACATTTCTCAGTCAAATAGTGCTTGGAATTTGGTCGCACTTAATCATAACTCATGAGAAATTCATGAGACCTGGTAGTGCTTTACTTTAACCTTTGGAAGAGAATGAAAAAGCATCGTGACTAGCTATGGGAAAAAGTTGTCCTTTGAACAGGCAGTCTCCAAGTTGAGCGGTTGAGTTCTGAAAGTTCATTTGTTGGTTGGCAGCAGCTGAGACCATATTGTATGTAATTGTGGTGTACAAGGTGATGTTTTGATATGTGTATATTGTGAAGTGATTAAATCAAGCTGGTTAACATACCCATCACCTCTCACAATTAGAATTTTTTGTGGTGAGAATATTTAAGGTCTACTCTCTTAGCAATTTTCAAGTACAGAATACATTATTATTAATACATTATCATTGATGTATTAGAATACATTATTATTAACGCTATACAAGAGATCTTCAGAACTTACTCATCTTATCTAACTGAAACTTTGTACCCTTTGGCCAACATCTCCAGTTACCCCAGCTCTTGGCAACCACCATTCTATGAGTTCAGTATTTTTGTTTTTAAACTGTTTCTCTGTTTCAGTGAGTTCAGTATCTTTACATGCCACATGTAAAAGTGAGATCATGCAGTAGTTGTCTTTCTGTGCCTGGCTTTTTTCATTTAGCACAATGTCCTTGAGGTTCATCCATGTTGTCACAAATGACAGGCAGTCCTGTTTTAAGGCTGAATAGTACTCTACTGTGTATATATATATACCACATTTTCATTATCCATTTATCTGTGGATGGACACTTTGGTTGATTTTATAACTTGGCTATTACGAATAATGCTGCAATGAACATTCTAATGCAAATATATCTTTGACATACTGCTTGTTTTTTCATTGGATATGTACCCAGAAGTAGACTTTCTGGATCATATGGTAGTTCTATTTTTAACTTTTAAAGGAACCTCCATACTGTTTTCCATAATGGCTGTAACACATTTTCTATATAAGGATGTTCTCAAAGAACAGAACAAGAAGTAGTATTAGAATACACAGTTGACTCTTGAACAATGCAGAGGGTAGAGATTCTGACCCTCCACATAGTTGAAAATCTGTGCATAACTTTTGACTTCCCCAGAGCTTAACTGCTAATAGTCTATTATTGATTGGAAGCCTTACCCATAACATAAATAGTGGGTTAACACATATGTTGTGTGTTTTAGGTTTTATATACTATATTCTTAAAATAAAGTTAGCTAGAGAAGGGAAGTTGTTATTAAGGAAATTATAAAGAAGAGAAAATATATTTACTATTCATTAAGTAAAGGTCTTCATCCTTATCTTCACGTTGAGATGGCTGAGGAGGAGGAGGAAGGGGAAGGGTTGGTCTTTTGGTCTCATGGGTAGTGGAGGTGGTAGAGACAGAAGAGGTGGAAGGGCAGGGAGGAGAGGCAGGCACACTTGCAACTGTTATTGAAATGTATCCTTGTGTAAGTGGACCCATGCAATTCAAATCCATGTTGTTCAAGGCTCAACTGTAGTCTTCCTCTTCTGGATATTTCTTTCAGGAACCTACATAAAGCTGGAATTTCTTGCTTGCATCATATGGCTGATCTCTCCAGAGGCTGCCAATGTAAACACAGTCATAAGCAAGTGCCTCTATCATATACTTGTGAAATAAATGAATAAATGACATATAGAAATATTGAAAAAGTAACTTAAATCTTTCCTAGAGCCTCTTAAAAATTGCATGGGAATTTCATTGATAAATGGAGCAAAATTTTATTTAAAATCCTCCTTCTGAATCACAGCATGGTAAGTGACTTGATGGCCTATCCTCACGTTTCCTCAAAACTCTCCCAAGACTTTCTCTCTAGCCTACCTGTGCTGGTACTTTACTTTTTCTTACCTCCCTTTGTTGCTGGATTTATTCTGTTCTCTTCCAGAATAACTCCCTGCCCTTGACAATGGGAATTTTCAACTAGTCTCAGCACCTTTCAATTGTCCTCCTTCCTTTTTAACCTAAGTTCTTATATAGGCAGCTTGAGATGTTACTTACAGCATATGAGGAGAATATTGAGAATTGATGAGTCCATTTATACATTGCTACTTCTTGAATCACTCTAGAATTCTCTCTTAGAGATATTCATTTGCTCACTGGTTCATTCATTCTTTCATTTTGATGCTTTCTCTATCAAACATGCTATTTTATAAACTTACATGCTTTCTGTTATAGGCTTGTGTTTTCCTGCAGAAAAAAAGAGTTCTCATTGATCTGTTATGCCACAACAAAGACTTATGCATTTAAAATAGAGCTCTTTGACTTACTGTGTTCATCTGCTATGAAAAATGTTTTGGAGAAAACTGGAAGGGGGTATGGCAATGTCATGGTTGTTTTCTCTTGTGGGTTTATCTTCCTGTTCTGTTTCTGGTTTTCTGGGTTTGTTGTTGGTTCAAAGAATATTTTTGTAAAATGTGTTTAGGCGCCAGGAGAGAGATACTGAGTTGAGCCTTCATTTCTCTTATTCTTAGTTCACTGGGTTTCTTTGATGTGGGCACAAGGCAGACCACACTGTTTTGAGTTTTAAAGTGAAGAAACACAAGAGGCTTATTTATTAATAGCTCTTTTTCATGTATTTTTAATCCCATTTTGTGAATTATATGTAGATTTCTTCCTCCATTGTTTGAAGTGCTCTCTTTCGTAACATGAAGAGAGCAGTTCTTTAGCTTTGGGGTTTGTCCTATTTATTTTGTAGTTTTATACTGGAAGAAACTACTTTTTTTTCAACTTTTATTTTAGATTCAGGGGATACATATGCAGGTTAGTTTTCTGGGTACATTGCATAATGCTAAGGTTTGGGGAATTCAGATCATATTAAGGCCACAGATAGGTTTTAAGCTTTTGGGTTGGTTATTTATTGTTATCCCAAAATGTCTCTTTCATTAGGGCAACCTTTGGTTAAATCATGTGGTTTATCTTTTTTTATAGAAGCATGTTAATGACATAAACACAAACCAGTAAAGATCATA